CTTAGAGGGAACACTTCCTCCATCCTCTCTGCCCTCGAGTTAATGTCACACACATTGGGTTAATGCAATTGCAGGATACGTGCATGAGAGGGGTTTGGTGGGGGCCAAACTAATCCCTGTTGGTAGGAGGATGGTGGGGAAAAGTCCTTGGAGAGGGGTGACATGACACCTTTTACTTCTCGTCATGTGTCCATCTTGCCCCGAGCGTGTTACCTCCAGAGGCCTGGTTAATGGAGGTGAGGGGGTGTGGCTAATTGGGGTCAGGGCGTGGTTAACAGGAGTCAGGGGGTGTGGCTAATGGGGCACCACCAAAAATTATACAAACCTGCTGCCCCTGCCGGGCATGCTGCAGGAGGGGGGGTTGGCCCAGAGGAGGAGTTTTTAGCACCGGGTTTTCCTGTGCTGCGGGAGGGTGTGTGTGTTGGGGGGGGAGGGGGCTTGTGTGCTGTATTGTGTGTGTGTGTGTGTGTGTGTGTGTGTGTGTGTGTGTGTGTGTGTGGTGGTTTGCCTTTTGTGCTTCCCCCCCCCTCCCCTCAACCAAAATTGCTGCAGGGCCCTGTTGAAATTGTTACAATTGGGCCCCACTTCCTAAAACCGGTCGTGGACACAAGCAACACATTTTGAAGAACAACAGTTACAGGAGGTTGGTGGTAATTTTTTAATGTAATTGTCCTGCACTTCTAAGAAAATGGGGGAAAAACAAATTTTCTTTTGTGCTTCCCCCCCCCTCCCCTCAACCAAAATTGCTGCAGGGCCCTGTTGAAATTGTTACAATTGGGCCCCACTTCCTAAAACCGGTCGTGGACACAAGCAACACATTTTGAAGAACAACAGTTACAGGAGGTTGGTGGTAATTTTTTAATGTAATTGTCCTGCACTTCTAAGAAAATGGGGGAAAAACAAATTTTATCACGTGGCTTAGTAACAAAATGGATACAATGTTCTCCAAACTACAGATAGGAATTGTCACAAAATCCCTCTATAATAGCCAAAGATGAAAACTTTAAGTGCTAAAATTAAAAAAAAAAAATCTATTTTACCTTGTACTTTGAAGACTGCCAGACTTAGGCTCTAGGCTGGGGAATGAGTTCCAGAGGTGAAAACCATCTACTGAGACCTCTGCTGATCATCCTGCAGAATTAAATTCCAGGAATTAATAGCAATAATTTTGAGGTTCATTACACACAACAACTTAATGAGAAATGGATACAACTTTTATTAAAACAAATTGAAGAGCTTCTTTGGTGAGCTGTTGCAAACAGTTTTGTGGTGTTCCTAGCCTCTGCTTCTAGGGCACAACTCCAGACACCTCTATTCATAGTGCTGTCCTTTATGAGGGAGAATCTCTAAATTATCTTCTACAGACTTATCTCTACACCTTCTCTCTCAAACAAAAACAAATTAACTCCATATACATGTGTTATCTGATAGTTGTTAGCTATTTAACACATGCATTACGTCCTCAACTCATATGTCTTTCTATAAACCCAATGTATCAACCACCTAGAGAGAAGCTACCAGCACATCAGTCTTGGGAGAATCTTTACCACTTACTTTCTTCAATTAATTAAACTCTTTGACTTGTGCTTACACACTTTCTGCTGTCCTGTGTATCAGGAAAGCTTTTCCTAAAGTGAAGTATTTCATGAGTGATCTCTCTCAAATATTTGTTTTTGTCCAATCACCAAAATCACCAGTTTTATTGAGTTTCCTTAATTCTGTGACATATTGCTTTATGGCAGGAAGGGGGAACCTACAGCCTGTAGGCCAGATCCAACCTGCAGCTTGCCTTGATCCAGCCCATAATATTTGGGATTACCCTCTCTTCCCCGCCCCCCCCCTCCCCCCCGCTGCAGTGGGGAGCTGGTACTCTGAGCCTTGGCGTCTCCCCTCCCCCTCCCTCCCGCATGGCCAAAGCGCCAGTGCCAGTTCCCTGCTGCAGGGCAGGGGGAGCCCCATGCCTCACGGACCAGATGAAAGCAAGCTGAGGGCCTCACCTGGCCTGTTGGCACTGCTTGGTAAGGGGGAGGAAGCAACTCGGCATGGCAGTGCAGGGAAGCTCTGTCAAGCTCCACTCCTGTCACTCCAGTGGCTGGGAATTGCAGCCAATGGGAGCATTAGGGGGGTGGTTCCTGCAAGTGTAGGGCAGTGTGGAGCCACCTATGGCTCTCCTTGGAACTGCACCAGGTAGGCCTGCCAATCCCTTACCCTGACTCCCAGCCTGCACCTGCACCCTATCTACTGCCCAAGCCCCACAACTATATCCTGCTCTCTGGAAGCCTTCTACTGCGCGTTGAACCCTGCATTTTTGTCCCCACCCCAAAGCCTAGGAGGCCTCCCACAAAATCTACTTAGCTGTGGCCCCCTGGAAAGTTAACCCAGCCTGGGGGGAAGCCCTGAGCCTCAGCACTTTCCCCTTCTCCCTGGCCATGTCTATACTACCAGGTTATTTCGAAATAATTCCCGAAATAAGTATTTTGAAATAAGCTTATTCATCTTCATAAGCAGGAGTTATTTTGAAATAACAAGCCCATTTCAAAATAACAGGCTTGGTATTGTGGATGCTCGGCTTGTTGTTTTGAAAAAAGGGAGTTATTTTAAAATAACTCCCCAGTGTAGACGTGCCCCTTCTGGGGCTGGAGAGTTAGGTGAGTGTTCAGTGTGGTGGTTTTTTTTTAAATTTACGTCTCGGTGGCCATGTTTGTAAGGTTTTTTTTTTTCTTCTTCTCACTTGGGGGCCAGGTCAGTGAGGCTTTTTGCTTCTCTGTTGCGTGTGTGGTCTGCAACTCAAAAAGGGTTTCCTACCCCTGCTGAATAGTGTCATCACTTTTTACATGCGTGTTTAAAAAAAAACCAAGGGTTTAATTTCTTTTTGGTGTGCAGTATTCCTCAAATTTAGTCAGTATTTTATTTAACTTCAGGTGTTCCCTTTCTTCTGCTTCTATTTATTATAACCTCTAGTGCTTCCTCCCCAACCACATACAAAAAGATAGATGGTTTCATTTTATCATTGTTTTCCCTTTGCCCCTGTGGCTACTAAATACATTTATATCTGTCTGAATTTTTTCCAGTTCTTTGCAACATTGCCTGATAACTGCAGATGGAATGGTGGTTGCAACACATCCATTTTCTATTCCTCCCCTCTCCTTTTTAAGCTAATCCCCCTATTATTGTATTCATCAAATACATGCAAAAGCCTCTATGCTGGGTGCTTCTCTGGTGCCTCGCTTTGTCTCTGCTTTCCATTGCAAACACAGAAGTTAACTTGTACAGGATTGCTGTTTCCTTCTCCTTCAGCACTTCTGACACCATGTAAGGATCTTGGCGGTTCACTGAACAAGCCAAATGAATGAAAAAAGGAATAAAACTTTATTAAAACTATAGAGCTTCTGTGGCAAACTACTACTCATAGCCATGTGGTTCCCAACCCCTGCTTCCAAGGCACATCTCCAAATTCCTATGTTCATAATACTGTCCTTTATGAGGAAGCATCTCTAAATTACAATCTTGTACAAATTATGCCAACATTGTCACTTGGAATTCTCTTAGCTTGTGACTGGGGATAAAGTGGAACAGTTTCTCAGGTCATAGAGCTCTATTCAGACTATTCAGACCTTTAAAGATAGCCATCAATATCTTGAATTGACACCAAGATGTCAACAGTAACCTATTACCTGTTTTACTGATATTAAAAATCTGAAAGATCATTATTGACTTGTGTTCTTTCTAAAGCTTCTTTCAGTGGTACCATTCTGTTCAGGTTTCATGCTGTAACTACTGTTGTGCTAATTGGCTTGGGGCTTTCTCTCTTGAGAGACTGCCTCTTTGTGCAATACTGTTGAAGGGTGTAGTCAGTGAAGGCACTTGATCTCAAATATCCATAATATATTGTAAAAGAAAGTGTAATGTGGCATTCCAATCATGGGGTTTCTTGGCTATGGAGCTCCCTTTCTCTGCCTCATTTGGTTAGAAATATCTCTAATTTGTTGTTCAGGGCATGCCGGGAGATCAATCTGTCAATACTTACAGAAGATGGAGGTGGGTGGCAAGGGATATGGTTTAAGGCACTGTTTCTCAACTTTTTTTTTTAATAAAGTACCCCTTTAAAAAAAAAAAAAGTAAGTACTCCCAGTACCTACAGTTTTCACACACACAATTTTTCTGCCATTGGAACACATTTGTTTAAACAACTTAATTGTAGCTGGGCAGGTGGTGAAATTTTTACACCCAAACAATACAAAAATAATAAAGCGCTGTAAAACTTAAAACCAAAATTCAGTTTTTTCCAAATGTCAGTTGTGTTGATGTACCCCTGAGACTTCTCAAGTACCACTGAAGGTACTTGTACCACTGATCGAGAAACACTGGTTTAAGGTATTAGGCTTTGGAGACTTCTCTTTGTGTAAAGAGATGAAGCTGATTGGGATGTGGATTATACAAATTCTATGAGAATAAATAATGGCAGACTGCACGGCGGTGGGCCCTTTTACAATTTCATCTTTATGAATTGAAAGAAAATAAATAAACGTGGTCTGAAATTACTTGCCCAGGCTATGTAAAATCGGGGTCTGTGCATAGTAGGTCACACTTCTAAAGGCAATATCCTGCATATATTTCAGCATTTGGTTTTCATTCTGCAAAATAGTAAAGCTTTAAATCTAAAAACATTAACTTCCATAAATACTTTCTCTGCCTTCAAAAGTTAAATAAACTCCACTACTCAGTGACAAAGTACTTTTTAAAAATAGTGGCCAAAACCGCTTGAAACAAAGCATATTACCAGATTGTATTTAGAGATGGATATTCTTCTTTTGCATATCTAAAAGTAGGTTGCAGTACTGCTGAGATGATTCAATTTATAATGGAAATACTAAGAAGACTTAAATACTACTAAGTACAATATCAATATATGTTTAGTTATTGTTTTATTTGCCGATAGCAAACCTTCCCCTCCCCCTCCTTCTGAAATGGCTCTTATTTTTTTCCCTCTGGTTACACAGGATTCTCAGTCACTGTCACGCTTGCAGATGCAGACTGACTTGCACCTTCCTTGCAAACTCAAAGCAGAAGAAGGAGCTAATTTCTGGAAGACCTGGGCACAAATAAAAAATGAGGATGTATGGAAAGATGTTGGAGAAACCCATCAGCATTTTGGAAGTATTATTTTAATTTACTTTCCTTTTTTCATGGTTCACTCAAAACAAGATATGTCCTTATATGTCATCTAATGATTCAGGGCTAATAATTCATTTGTTCAGTAGAGGTTGAACCTCTCTGGTCCAGCACCATTAGGACTGGCATGGTCCCAAACAAGGGAGTTTGCTGGACTAGGGAGGTCAGGTGTCCAGGTTCTCCCAGGGCTCCCCTCCTGTCTGCTGCCCTGGGACAACCTAGAGGTCTGACTTCCTCCAGCTCACCTGCCTGGCTCTGCTGCCCCTAAGCCGCTCCTGGGCGTCAGTCCTGGGGCTCTGCTTTCAGGGTTCCCCGGCCCTGTGTGTGGGGCGGCAGTTGGTCCCGGGATTCCCTAGCTCCTATGTCACTGGTCCTGCAGGCGGCTGCCAATCTGACCGACTCTGTCCCCAGTTGTTCTCAATATCTGCAGCTAGGACTCTCTGGTATAGCAATATTTGTGGTCCTGCTGGACCAGGGATGTTCCCAGAGCAGTGTGTCCTGGACAAGAGAGGTTCAACCTGTAGTAGCTTTCTCTACAAGTCATTCCATTGAAATCTATGATTAAGGAATGCAGAATTAGACCATTAGTTATAAATAAGACTGGGTCTGTCATAGAAGTCACAGATTTCATGAATGTCCATGATCTACCTGACTCTTGCAGCTAGCCAGGGGGCTGCCTGAGCAGCTTGGGCAGTCCCTGGGCCAGCTGCTATGGCCACTGCTGTGGCTGTTTTGGGCCACTGCACCCCCTTTTCCAGCAGGAGTTTGGGTGTCAAAGGGGCTCAGGGATGGGGCAGAGGATTGTGTAGAATGGGGTGAGGGTTATAGTCGGGCTGGGGAATGTGAGTAGTCAACACTATCCAATAAGCGTAGGCTTGTCAGTAGTTGACTACTCTTCTACATCCCTACTCCCCTCTCCCCTACAGACAGGGACTGCTGCTGACTGGGTAGGCAGCCCTGCTCAGTCCCTGCTTGTGCTGGGTCCAGGATCAAATCTTGCTGTCGCTCTGCAATTTAAAACACAGTAGGAGCCAAGGGGTAGGCTGCCCGGTTCCTACTGCCTTTTAAATTGCAGAGCCGCAGCAGGATTTAGCCCTGGTACGAGCCGGGACTGAGTTGTCTGCCTTCCCTAATGACTAATGGAGTTATCAATAAAAATTCTATCAACTACTCCATTAGTAAAATAACCTTATTTTAACATCCCTACTGATAATGCATGGGGAGTAGGAGACCTTGGCATGGCACACAGCAGTCCTTGGCAGGCCAAGAGGAGACCTTGCCAGAGCTGAGACAGGGATTTTCTGCTTGGAGCATGAGCATGTATGAGGTGTGCCAGAGTGGGATTGGATGGATGTGGTGGGTCCTATCTTGCCACAGTTTGTGATGCCCACTCTCTAGAGTGGGACTAGCCTACCACTTACTACCTCCCCAAGATGGTATCAGATCACTAACTCCCATAAGAAGCTGCTGCCTCAGATGAGAGATGGAAGCTGGGATGACTGCTTTCTATTGGAAAAAATGCAGCAGCTCGGCAGGGTACGGGACTCAGCAATCATGCATATTCTGGTGTTCTGTAAAATTCCAACATTTACCTCTGAAGCTGTTGTAATTTAATACAAAATACAATGCAGTTTACTCAGAGCCTTAGTTGTAAATTGCTCATTCAGAATATTTGTAACTATAGCAGTCTCTGGAAATGGTACCAGAATTCTTTTCTTGGTGGCTGTAGTGGTGTGTCACTTAAAATCCTCAACCTCCTCAGCATCCAAAAACCCCATGAATGATTCAGTCTTCGATTAAATCCTACAAAGCATTAAGGGGAAGAAAGGTTTATGCTGACTGAACAAATTATTGGAGAAAAATAACCTGGCTTAAATATGCTCTCTTCACACTATAGGAAGAAAACCAATAACTTTTAGGGAAGATGTCCTTTCAGTGCCAGTAGCAGAACTGAATTATGGTCTGTGCCTAATGACTAAAGAAGCTAGAAAGCAAGATGGTTCCTCTTATGAAGCAGACATGTTGTATTACTTATTTCTTTGTATTCAAAAGGTAAACACAAAATGCAGATGAATGACTAGTGGACTCTTTCTATACACAAAGAATTGATGACTGAGATACTAAAGTAGCACTCAAAGACAATAAACTCGTTGTGGAGAAACTAAATGAATTCTTTGCTTCAGTCTTCATGGCTGATGGTGTTAGGCAGATTCCCAAACCTCAGCTATTCTTTTAGGTGACAAATCTGAACGTGTCATTGTTATGCTTAAATGAAGCACACAAGATCTTTTATAGGGGAAAAAGCAGTATGCCACATTTATTGAGAATGCAACAGTAGCATATGGCTTTTTAGTCACTCTCACACACAGACACCATACACACACAGTCCCGTCAGACGATGTTATAGTTACCAGTCCAGCGTCTGGATCAACCTAGTGGGCAGCCAGATCGATCACAGAGGGAGAGCCGGACCTTTTGTCGGTTGCGATCCGATGCTCTCCTGGAGTTGGTGGCAAGACGAACCCAAAGTTCCATAGCAAAGCACCCTGCTTTTATAATCCTCTCCTCAATGGATTTTGCTGTGTCAGTCTGTGACCGGTTACTGTTACCTTTTGATGTTGACATTCCCTAAACATCTCTGAAAAGCTCATCCTGTAATCAATTGTCTCTTGGGGTGCTCGCTCCACGTTAGTCGGCAATCTTCCAGTCTGATCAATCCTTGACCATGGGCACGCACTGATGGTTCCTCTGTCACCGACAAATCTGTCTTCACCCGGTTACCCCTTCCTTTCTTGGCCGTCTGGCTCTAACAGTGGCCTTCATGCCTTTATCTTTACAATGATACATTTCTCATTCACACAAACAGTCTTTCTCAGAGACTCTTTCAAAGGTAAACAGCAATATTTTATATGAAGCAAAAGCAAAATCAAAACCATTCACATCAAAGGCCCAGGCCTTCAATATTTCTAATCTCATTAAGATAGACACAATACCAAAACGCTATCTCTTTACTTACTGAACTCACTACACTTTAAAACAAGGAAATATATATACTCAACTAAAGGGTTTAATTTAATACAATATTAAATGTGGTAATATGTTACCTTACATTGCTACATTATTAAACCTAAAATACAAATATAAAAAGAATAATACTCCACTCCAACAATTAGAGAATGTTTTGGAACAAATTGATAAATGTAACAGTAATAAGTCACCAGGACCAGATGGCATTCACCAAGAGTTCAGAAAGAACTCAAATGTGAAATTGCGGCACTATTAATTGTGGTTTATAATCTATCCTTTTAAATACATTCTGTACCTAATGTGACACCCATATTTAAAAAGGGCTCTTGAGGTGATCCTGGCAATTACAGACTGGTAAGTCTAACATCAGTATCAGACAAAGTAGTTAAAATCATAGAAAAGAATAACATTATCAGACACCTGGATGAACATAATTTGTTGGGGAAAAGTCAACATGGTTCTTGTGAAGGGAAATCATGCCTTACTAATCTACTAGAGTTCTCTGAGAGGGTCAACAAGCATGTGGACAAGGGGAATCCAGTGGATATAGTGTACTTAGATTTCCAGAAAGCTTTTGACAAGGTCCCTCACCAAAGCCTCTTAAGTAAAGTAAATTGTCATGGCATAAAAGGGAAGGTCCTCTTATGGACTGATAACAGGTTAAAAGACAGGAAACAAAAGGTGGGATCTTTCAGAATGGAGAGAGGTAACTAGTGGTTTTCCCCAAGGGTCCATACTAGGAACGATACTATTCAACGTATTTGTAAAGGATCTTGAGAAAGGAGTCAACATTGAGGTGACAAAATTTGCAGTTGATACTAAACTGCTCAAGACCGTTAAGAACAAAGAAGACTGTGAAGAACTTCAAAAAGATCCCACAAAACTAAGTGATTGGGCAACAAAATGGCAAATGAAATTTAATGTTGATAAATGTAAAGTAGTGCATATTGGAAAAAATTAGTCCCCATCATATTGTATGTATAGTTGGGATTATTTAGCTATAACTACTCGAGATCTCGGAGTCATTGTAGATAGTTCTCTGAAAACATCCAGTCAATGTACAGCGGCAGTCAAAAAAAAACAAATAGAATGTTAGGAATCATTAAAAAAGGGATAGCGAATAAGACCGAGAATGCCTCTATATAAAACCATGGTATGCCCATATCTTGAATACTGTATACAGATGTGGTTGCCTCATTTGTTATATTGGCATTGGAAGAGGTTCAGAAAAGGGCAACAAAAATGATTAGGGGTTTTGAACAGGTCCCATATGAAGAGAGATTAAAAAGCCTGGGACTTTTCAGCTTAGGAAAGGGGAAACTAAGGGGGGATATGATAGAGGTCTATAAAATCTTGACTGGTGTGGAAAAAGGGAATAAGGAAAAGTTATCCACTTGTTCCCATAATGTAAGAACCTAGGGGTCACCAAATGAAATGAATAGATAGCAGGTTTAAAATGAACAAAAGGAAGTACTTTCTCATGCAGTGCATAGTCAACCTGTGGAACTCCTTGCCAGAGGATGGTGTGAAGACCAGGACTTTTAACAGGGTTGAAAAAAGAACTAGATAAATTCATGGAAGATAGTTCCATAAATACTTATTAGTCAGGATGGGTAGGAATGATGTCCCTAGCCTCTGTTTGTCAGATGTTGGAAATGGATGACCAGAGAGGGATCATTTAATGATTCCCTGTTCTGTTCACTCCCTCTGGGGCATCTGGCATTGGTCACTGTTGGAAGATAGGATATTGGGCTAGATGGACCTTTGGTCTGACCCATTATGGCCATTCTTATGCTATTATGAACTGAGGCATGCTGGGAGCTGGCTTTTAAGTCTGCCCTGGTGCATACTAACTCCAGCTTGCCAGCCCTGCTCCTGGAGAGCTGGCTGCTGCCCTGTGCTATGGACTCTGATACAGAAGCAGCAGTGCAGGGCATCAGTCAGCTCCTTAGGAGCAGGGCAGGAACATGTGTTTAATTATTCACAATAACCGATAAGTCTGGGCTTATAGGTTAACCGTGTAAATGGTTATTCTGTTACATCCCTACTCTCTGCAAAACTTTTTATTTTATTCTTAAGATAACTAAAGTCTAAATGGAGTGAACTGATCCATATCCCTGTATGCTAGGCATTATTAAAACAGACTACTTGGATGGAAGAGACTTGTTTCTTTTTTTCCCCTGTAGTAATATATAAAACCATCTTAAAATCCAATTTTTAAAAGTGTACCAGTTTAGCAAAATTGCTTTCCCATGCAAGAGTCAATAGAACCTTGTCATTTGGTCATTAAAAACATAGGATTATTATTTTTTCCCAATTAATCATTTAAATTCCACTAGGCTGCCCCACGTTTGTAGGGGAAATATTTGTGTGAAATGATGAAAGACTGACCGTTCCTGTTCTTCTGTATGAAGTCATTTTTTGTATCGTTTACATTCCAAGCCATGTTATGGTGGAGATGTACCAAGGTTAACTAATTTAATTATGAAACAAGGCATAGTAAAACAAAGCTTTTATTCCATTTCTCCTATCCACATCTCTTTCATTTTTTTTATTCACAGTATATGTTTGATAATGACAGAATTGACAACATTTTTGCTGATCTTTACTACGTGAAGTTTATGGAAAGACTTCATGCAGTGGTGAAGGGATGGTGTCCAAGAGTGAGCCCCTCTGGTAAGTGGAGAAACACTGAGGAGAAAAAGAAATCTGTACTTGACTAGTATGTTCTGACACGAATTTATTTTCATCAATATTTGTATTTCAGGGTATATTCTGTCCAGTTGTATTACGGAGGAAATGTTATGGGATTGCAAACAACTTGGAGCACATTCTCCTTCTATTCTCCTGTTTACGTTGATGTATTTCAACACAAAGTAAGAATGTTTTATATGAAAGTCGTTCATGTCTAAGTCCATGTAGCTTACCCAACCGGCTTAATCACTCTCACTCTCACTCTCACTCTCTGTCTCTCACAGTTTTTCCTGTAGGATGATAGTGAGGTTGTCATGTCACTCTGGGTCCCACGTGCCTCCACTATCTCTCCCCCCTTCTCCCTATCCCAGCTTGAGCCTGGCCTCGCTGCTTTCCCTCCCCGCTTGGAATTGCTATTTTAAACTAAGCCCCTACTCCCCTTTCTCCACCCCCACCCCAAAGGGCTTTCAACGCCAAGAAACATGCACAGTAGCTGGCAGACCCCACATCGCAGCCGTGAGCTGTGCAGGCGGGACCACAGGGTGGAGAGGTTGGGATAGGAGCCCCCCGCGCTGCTGCTTTCCATACCTCAGCAGGCTGCAGTGCCCCAGAGCGCCATGTACCATGGCACTACCTGTGCCTCACTGCACTCCAGGCAGGGTGGGAGGGCACTCCTGTG